ACCATCATCAGTTTTTATGTGTAGCGTTGTTGCTGCTTTAAGCCTTGGCATGCATTTTTTGCCGAGCAAGAAAATGCATGCCAAGGCTTAAAGCAGCAACAACTCTACACATAAAAACTGATGATGGTGGAAAAATAGACCGAAACGTATTTTGATTGATAAATAGAGACAATAAATGACTGAAACCCAGGAATGAATTTGATTTGGAATTGAAACACAGTCAGGAAAGTATGTACAATTATTTTTTTACATATTTATTAGATCTATTTTGATTGGTAGATTTAGTTCGTTTAAAATTCGACTACATTTTGACTAGATTTTGTACCCATTTATTATTAATTGTAATACTGTTAACTGTACAAGTTGAGAAATAATTTGGTTTTTGTCTTCTAAATAGGGTTTATCTTGGGTGTTTTCAATGCAAGTGATAAGTTTTATAGTATAACGAACATTTCCTTAATTAATATTAGATATTATACATACAATAATACAAGAGTGCACCTGGATTATATGTGCACATACTTGTATACATTTGTTTCACTGTAATGGTACCTACTACTACTAATTCGTTAGATCAATGTTAATTCCTAACACTAAATTGTTTAAAAGTATGGCACGAAAAAATCAGCAATTTCCAGAGCAACTTCTAAACCAGAAACTGTTTTCCCATTCCATCTTTCCGAAAACATCAAATTTATTTTAGAAAGTACTTACAGCTTTCGTGTTTACATTGTCTTCATTGCACAGGGAGAATTATGCTTGTTTCAAAAAACGGAACGAAAGCAAATGATTGTATTAAGTTTTTATGGGGCTGTAACGATTCCTGTTGTTTAAACTTACATTTTCTTGAACGAAAAATATTTTTGAACAATCGACTTTGTACAAGAATTATGAATTCTTCTAAACCTGAAATCTTTTACGAGAGCATTATTGAATCACCGTGTTGCATGTAAATGTAACTGTCGTGTTCATATTCCTTGTAAACAAATTATAAATATGTCAAGATGCGATCATTTTTGTGCATGAAATTAATAAACTTATAGAATGAACCAAAATAAATAGTCTCCAATGTGTACTTTACAAGAAATAAACTATAAGAGGTCGAACCATCCTCCTATATTTCTGAACGCTTCTTTTTGCTGCTTTCTGCGCCAGTTTCCGAAATACGTTCTTTCCATCAATGTTGATAGTTTGCAGAGCAAAAATCCATCATGAGTTTCTTCAGGTAAATAGGGTGTGGAAAAAACTTAGTTGCAAAACGGTTTTGCACTATTCGGAAGCTGAAACCTTCATCTTTCTGGAAGATTTTCTGAATATAAGATTTCCAATTGTCCGCAAACAGGCCTTGAACAGCGGTATCACATAGAGACTCAAAGTGTACATGGTGACCAACCAGAAATACATAACATGTGCAAACAGGAAATAAATCATAACACACGACAAACTTAACCAAATCAGCTGCGTGAAATAGGCCCAGGCCTTGGACAGGTACCTGTCCCTGTTCAGCGCGCTTCCGTGGTATAAAAAGTTTCCAGTTTTGCGAAACTCGTTCATCGTTTGCTCCTTTTCCAGCCAGCGCTGTTCCAGAAATACCTTTAGACCCTCTTTGTTATCGGGCAACGCAGGCACTGGGTACCTAGAATCAAGCACCCATTGTAGCGTTGAAGCAGCTATTTTGGTCGCTTACCTGACCAGATGGGCCAACACGTTGGTGGGAAACTTGCCCTGAAAAAACAGCTGCTCTTCGTTTTGGGGGCAGTCATCTGGATAGATGAGGGTCAGATCGTAGACAGCGTCTAGGCAATTTCGCTTTCGCATCTCGTCCACCAGATACACGAATCCAGTGCTTCTTGGATGAAGAACGTGCTCGTACTTCTACAAGAGCGTTGAATTAAAAAAAAATGGTGTGCGTCACGGGACGCTCGACAGAAGTGATAACTTCATAAATTAATAGAAACCATAAAATATTGAACTTGTTTAACGCATGATGGCAATAATAATTTTAATATTCTTGTTAGTCTAATAATTTACAAATGGATCAGGAATGTGTAAAATTTAATTTAATTTCCTTTTGAATGTAAAATATCTTCTTCATTTGCAACATTTAACATTCTTTAACGAGATGTTGTACATATTGCTCTTCTTGGGTTTGTGTAAACTCTTCTTCTTGAGTTTCTGTATTTTTTTGTCGTAATTTCTTATTTGCTTTGTATAATCTTTGACGTTCAGCACTAGTTCGTGGTTGATGAAAGCTACTTTGAGTTGATCTGTTACTTAATGATCCTTTTTTAGCACGAATCGTTTTTGGCGTTCAACATTACTTAATACTTTTCGCATTATAGCGTGTTTTTGTGACTGCTCTTGTGTATGTCGTTCATGAACGTCTGCTACAACTTGTATTTGAATAGGACTAAAAAATCAATTAATTTTGGTGATTGAAGACGTCCTATCTGTTTAAAATAGACGGTAAAACGACGAAGAGCTATAGAGACAGGGTACACTTAACACCCTATATGTATACATAATGTAAACCATCGCGCGTATGTTCAAAAAAAATATTCTAACTGAACTAATCCAAGGCTAAAAACATTAAACTAAATAGAGAAGATTTAATCATAAAGGAATCAAAGGGTATATGAAGGGAAAAATCCATTTTGATGCGTGGTAAACACAATTAATCCTAGAAATAATATAGA